CCTTCACGTTCTCCCACCTCTCTCTCTCACCATCCCTCTTTCTCTTCCTCCCACTTCTCTCCACATTCTTCCCTCATGTCATCCTGACCCACTTTCACCCATGGCCTCAATCTCTCCCTTTCCCTGCCTATCTCTATGTCTCTCTCTCTCTCTCTTCCGCAATCTCCATCTCTTTCTTTACGCTAATCTTCTCTTTCTCTCTCCTCCGTGTCTTTCTTCCCTTCTGTCTGTCCCTCATCCTGTCTTTCTCTCTGTCTGTCTCTCTTTCTGCCTCTCTCCCGCTTTCTGTGTCTCTCCATCCCTCTCCCTGCCTCTCGCGCTCTGTTTCTCTCTCCCTTCTTGCTGTGTCTACTTCCCTGTCTCTGTATCTCTCCCCTCCCTCTGTCTCTCTCTGTCTCTATCTCTTTCTCACTGTCTGCTCTTTGTCTCTCCCTGTCCCCTCTCTCTCTCTCCTCTCTGTCTGTCTCCCTGTCTCTCACCCCCTCTATCTCTGTGTCTCTCTCCCTTCTTTCTCCTCGCTGTCTCCCCTCTCCCTCTCTCCCCCTCTCTCTCCCTCGGTCTCTTTCTCGCACCCCCCCGCCGTCTCTCACCCCCTCTCCCTCTCTCTGTCTCCTCTCTCTGTCTCTCCCCCCTCTACCTCTCTTTCTCTCCTCTGTCCCCTCTCCCTCTCTCTCTGTCCCCTCTCCCTGTCTCTCTCTCCTCTCCCTCTCCCCCTCTCCCTCTCTCTGTGTCTGTCTCTTTCTCCCTCCCCCCAATCTGTCTCTCACCACCTCTCTCTCTGTGTCTTTCTCCCTTCTTTCTCCTCGCTCTCTCCCCTCTCCCTCTCCCTGCTTCTCTCCCCTCTCCCTCTCCCTCTCTCCCTGTCTCTCTCCCCTCTCCCTCTCCCTCTCTCTGTCCCTTCTTTCTCCTACCATCCTATCTTTCTCCCTTTCCCTCCTCACTGTCTCTGCTTCATTGTGTCCTTCTCCGGCCCCTCGTCCTCTGCCTTTCCCTCTCGCCTCTCCCGCCTTCTCTGTCTCTCTCTCAACCTCACCATTCCCCCGCGCTTCTCTCCCTCTCTCTTCCCCACACTGTTTCCCTCCCTCGCTCTCTCTCTCTCTGTGCCCTCCGTGTCTCTCCTTTACCCTCCTGTGCCCGCAGAGATGGCAGCACCTGACCACCCCAGTCTGGGCAGATCACCATCGTCAGTACATGGGGGTTATTGAACACACGACTGTACCCAGCCGCCTGGTACCTCGAGCTGACGAGAAAATTGTCATCTACGAGAGCGTGATGTGAGTGCGGCCCCATAGCGACGCTCGCAATTTACATGAAGGCACAGGGTTTTTGGCATTTTTTTAGCAACCAACTTTTTGATGCACTTTATTCGTGGACTGAGATTTAATTAATAATTGCAGAACCAGGAGGCTCTCCAACATCAGGGAGCGAGGGTGTAGAGGGAGCTTTACTCGGTATCTAACTCCCGTCCCTGGGAGTGTTTGATTAAGTGGGGGTAGGGCGAGGGGAACAATGTAGAGGAGACTTTACTTTCACTTTTAAAGAAGTAGAGGTAGCTTTACACTGTTGCTAAACCGTGTCTCTACACAGAGTCCCACTAGGCGTAGTGTGTGGGTAGAGAGGGGAGAGACAGGAGAAAGAAGGGAGAGAGAGACACACACAGAGAGAGAGAGAGGGGGTGAGAGACAGAGAGAGGGGAGAGAGAGACACAGAGAGAGAGGGTGAGAGACAGAGACAGAGAGGGAGGAGAGAGATGGGACAGAGAGAGAGAGAAACAGAGGGATGGGACAGAGAGAGAGAGAGAGAGAGAGGAGAGACAGACAGAGAGAGGGGACAGAGAGAGAGAAACAGAGGATGGGACAGAGAGAGAGGAGAGAGACAGACAGAGAGAGGGGACAGAGAGAGAGCCGAGAGAGACAGAGAGAGAGAGGGTCCACCTTTTGAGCCACCCTCACCCTCCAAAGGTGTTGGAACTGGGATCTTCCTGTGTAATGTGACTTAAAGCCATTAACACACCCATGCTGTATTTTGTAACATAGAGCGTACTTAATATATACCTTACGAAGACGATTTTAATCACTTGGCTCGTTCTTTGTGAGAGATGCAGCTCTCAGTTAACGGTACGAGAGACTGGGAAACGGTGGAATTGTTAAGGTTATTGGGGGGGTTTGAATCAAGACAGTGAGGGTCAGTGACAAGAAAAAATGGGGTAAAGAACCAGAGGGGGGAGACGGATCGAGGGGGGAACGGGGTAAAGAACCAGACGGGGAGACAGATCGAGGGGGGAACGGGGTAAAG